ACCATATTACTAGGATCATGGAACAAGCTCGTGATTTCTGGTCAAAAATGCGTAAAAACTGTCAAAGTCTTAGATCTCCTGAAATAATAAATGTCATCATCCATAACCAACAAACAAAGTCTGAAGAAGTTCGTCAGAAGTTCTATCGTCAAAAAATCATTTAAAACTCAAGCGATTAGATTTTGCGCCAAATGGGTGGCTATGAACGATATTTGCGCCAAAAACAGAGATGAAATTGATGCAGCACATGCTAAATTGTTGGATTACGTCGAGGAAAATCCTACACCCGAAAAATCAGCTCAGATTGTATCTGAGCTTGCCAAAAAGTTGACTAAGTGTACTCAGTTTGAAATTTTAAAACTGCAGGCTGAAAAAAAACAGACTCAAAAAGATATATTAGTGTTTAAAGAGAAAGCTTACAAATTATATTGAAGAGATTCCTGAATCTGAAGAACCTTCAAGCTTCAAAATGGCAGATCTAGCTGATGGTGGTGCAACGTTTAAAAAGAAAAATGCCAAAAGTATACTCAGTTTTGAATTTTTTAAAAAAATGGGTAGAATAATATTATTAAGGCCAGACCAATTTGATTTGGTAGTTTACATTACCCCTCCTCTCTCTTAGTAAAAAATTTTTGGGATAAACATATAGATTTTGGCCGGAGAGCTAATGCCGGGCGGAATTAAGATTAGAAATTGTAAGGATCCGAAATATTCCGAAGAGAAAATGAACAAACATAAAATATGAACAAGGTTAGGCTGATAATTCCGATTGAAAAAATATTTTAATAAAATTTACTATGTATATGTTCCATCCCCCCTTTTGAAAAAGGGATGTCTGTAAACCACCAAATCAAGTCGGTTTCACATAAATTATACCCTTTTTGACATATCATGAAATAAATATATACCATTTTGTCTTAAAAATTAGGCATCTGAATTGTTTGTCTAGCTATTGCCTTCTGTAAATATGTTTTGTTCTTCAGAATTTGTCAGTATAAAGAAATTATTTCAGGAAATTTTATAGATTGATATGTATTGATTACTAGCCAGAGGATATATATTACTGTAGTGATAATAATCACCCCTGTTGTTTTCTATTGATTATAATTCTAACCAAAATATAGCTGATATGGC